CAAGACACATCATCATCAAAATGCAAGAGGTTCAAGACAAAGAGAGAATCTTAAAAGCAGCAAGAGAAAAGCAGTTAGTTACCTACAAAGAGCTCCCATAAGACTGTCAGCTGATTTCTCAAAAGAAACTCTTCAGGCCAGAAGGGAGTGGCAAGAGATATTCAAGGTAGTAAAAAGCAACAACTTACAACCAAGATTACTCTATTCTGAAAAGCTATCATTTAGAATCGATGGCCATATAAAGAGTTTCCCAGATAAGAAAAAGCTAAAGGAGTTTATCACCACCAAACCAATATTATATGAAATGTTGAAGGGTCTTCTTGAAGGAGAAGAACAAAAATAGGAACAAGAAAATGGCAACTAATACATATCTATCAGCAATTGAATCTACAAACAAAATGAACAAGCAGAACAGAAACAGGCTACTAGATACAGAGAACTTCTTGTTGCTTGCCAGATGGGCAGGGGCTGAGAGGATGGGTTAAAAAGATGAATGGATTAATAAGTACAAATGAGTTGTTAGACTGATGAACCTCAAAGAGAAGGGGGGAGGGAAGGAGAGATGAGATAAAGCAAAGAACTTCTATGTATATATGTGTAACCAATGGACACCAACAATAGTGTGGGGAAGGCAAGAGAGGGGTGGGATTGGAGAGGAGGGGGTCAATGGGGGAAAAAAGAGGAGACATCTGTAATACATTCAACAATAAAGTTAAAAATATTTCCATACAATAAAAATAAAAGGGAATTTGCTTAATCTAATAAAGGCCATCTAAAAAAACCTATAGGTAACATCATACTTAAAATAGTAAAATATTGCGTGCTTTTCCCTAGTTCAAGACTGTATTAGAGGTCCTACCCAGTAAAATAGGGCATTAAAAAATAGGCCTAAAGGTCAGAAAGCAAGAAATAAAATTGTCTCTATTTGCATATAACTTATAGCTGCATGAAGTTTCCCACTTAGGGAAAATATAAAACAGGAAGAGAAGAGAGTATCTTGGGGAATGCCTTCATTTGAAGGGTGGGTAGAGGATTAACAACTATTATAGGAAACTGAGAAAGGAGACTAAATTACATATCATAAGCTCTTTACAAAGCAGGGATTTGTGTCATACATTTAGAAAAGATTTACCTAAAATAACTAAGATTACAAAAATACTGAAGCATTGCAAATCTGCAATATTCACTCATACAGAACATCAAACCTTCACAATAAGAAATGAAAAACCGTCATATATAAACTTAGAAATACAATTACTATCTGCACCAGATAATCACAGTAATAAATGAATCAGAATTACTGGGTCAAGGTGTTTAAATGGTATTAGAGCCGAAGTGGTTATAATGAAATGACTTGAAATGTATACTCATTAAGAGTAATTATGTCATTAATGACAAACTAGATAATGGTTATAACATGAGATGTTGATCTTCAAGCCTAAAATAACATTTAATTTTAGAAAAAAATCTCAACAAAGTAGAGAAGAAAAGGCTATTATGTCTTTATATTTTCAGTAAGTATAAAACTATGTTTAATATCTTCTTTATTAATAATAAAAACATAGATTTTTTTGTTTTTGTAGTCATTTTGCATCATAATGTTCTACCCCTAATTCAAAGTGATGTAATAAATTTCCTACAATTTTATGAAATGCAATTTTATGAAATAATCTTTTCTTTAAGTCAGAAGGTTTTGTTATTTTTTTAACTTAATATGTCATAATGATTTTTATAAGATTTAACAAAAAAAGAAATAGAGGAAGATATAAAAAAGTGGAAGCACATACCTTGTTCATGGATTGGAAGAATTAACATCCTTAAAATGTCTATACTACCCAAAGGAATCTATAGATTCAATGCAATCCCCATCAAAATACCAACAACATATTTCACAGAACTAGAACAAATACTTCAAAAGTTCATATGGAAACAAAAAAGTCCCCGAATAGCCACAGCAATTTTGAAAAAGAAGGACAAAGTAGGTGGGATCACAATACCAGATATCAGGTTATACTACAAAGCGACTGTAATCAAAACAGCCTGGTACTGGCACAAGAACAGGCATATAGACCAGTAGAACAGACTAGAGAACCCAGAAATGTACGCAAGGCATTATGCTCAATTAATATTTGACAAAGGTGGCAAGAGCATACAGTGGAGTAAAGACAGCCTCTTCAATAAATGGTATTGGGAAAATTGGACAGCTACATGCAAAAAAATGAAACTAGACCATCAACTTACACCATACACATAAACTCAAAATGGATAAAAGACTTAAATGTGAGCTGTGAATCCATAAAAATTCTAGAAGAAAATGTAGGCAACAAAATTTCGGACATCATACGGAGCAGAATTTTCACTGATACATCACCTAAGACAACAGAAACAAAGGAGAAAATGAACACATGGGACTACATCAAACTCAAAAGCTTCAGCACAGCAAAAGAAACAATCATCAAAATGGAAAGGCAACCCACTGTATGGGAGAACATCATTGCCAATGATGTATCAGATAAGGGGTTAATTTCCAATATATATAGAGTGTTCATACAACTCAACAAAAGGAAGACAAAGAACCCAATTAAAAATGGGCAGAGGAGCTGGACAGACACCTCTCCAAACCAGACATACAAATGGCCAAGAGACATATGAAGAAATGCTCAACATCACTAATCATCAGAGAGATGCAAATTAAAACAACAATGAGGTATCACCTCACACCTGTCAGAATGGCCGCCATCAACAAATCATCAAACAACAAGTGTTGGCGAGGGTGTGGAGAAAAGGGGACTCTAAAACACTGCTGGTGGGAATGCAGACTGGTGCAGCCACTATGGAAAACAATATGGTGTTACCTCAAAAAATTAGAAATTGAACTTCCATTTGACCCAGTGATACCGCTTCTAGGAATATACCCTAAGAAGCCTGAAACATCAATCAGGAAGAATATATGTACCCCCATGTTCATAGCAGCACTATTTACAATAGCTAAGATCTGGAAACAGCCCAAGTGTCCATCAGTTGACAAATAGATAAAAAAGCAGTGGTACATATACACTATGGAGTACTATGCAGTGGTAAGAAAGAAAGATCTCTTATCCTTTGAGACGACATGGAGAGACCTGGAAAGTATTATCCTAAGTGAAATAAGCCAAGCAGAAAAAGATAAATACCACATGATCTCACTTATATACAGAATATAATGAACATAACAGTCTGAGGAATACAGTAGACCCAGAAACATGGAAGTAGGGCACAGACTGACATCCCTCAGAAGAGGGGTTGGGGGTGTTGGAAGAGATAAACCACAGAACTTATATGCATGTATGCATGGCCAATGGACATGGACAACTCAGCCGGGGATGGGGCGGGGGTGGAGTGGGAAGGGGGTGCCAATGGGGTAAAAAAGGAGAAATATCTGTAACAAAAAAATAAATAAATTAATTAATTAAATTAAAAAAAAAAAAAGAAATGGGGGGGGGGCGGAAACAAGGTTAAACTGTTTCATTGAGCTCTATTAACATAAGCAATCAAGTCTCAAATTGGTAGAGCCACTGCAGGATGTCCTTGAACTGACTGCTAATCTTCTCTTACCCAGTTCCCAAGAGCAAAATTGGCAATGCTACTGGTTTTGGTGAGCACACCTCAGAGTGAGGGCTGTAGCCCAAGAGGAGGGCAATTTTCCTTAGACTGACCTCAACTCCCAGCCCAAAGTGACTAATATTAGGAATAACCTTTGTTGTATGTTAAAATACAGATTCAGAGAGTCCACCCTATACTGAATTACTGTCTCTGAGCATTTCTATTTTTAAGTTGTACAGAGGTTTTTATCATGAGGCAAAATATAGACAGTCTATCTTAACCTATAGAATGAACTTTCTCAAACTATAGGCTGTAATCATTAGGGGTTAAAACATCAATTTAGTGGATCACTATCAAAATGTTTAAAAATATATATGAGTATAGAAAAATAACTGAGTGTATCACAAAAAAATAAGAAAAGGTACTGTTTTGTGAAACCTTGTTTGAAACTATGGAAATGTATATAGATCTAACTTCTATACATACACAATTATATATGTGTATATCATTATAAATGCTAATGTATTATGTATGGAATGACATAGTAAAATGTATTTCTTATCTTAGATAGTGATCAAAAAATGTGTCATAGCCACTGCTAGAACATAAGGAAAAAATGTGGAACTACAGAAAACTACATGTATTTCCTGCTTGGGAGCAAGAATATTAAGACCTTTTAGTTTGTCACATTGACCTGATTTTATACTGGTTTTATGATCATCAATAAACTGGACAACTCGTACTAAAAATAATTATTTTTTATACCAGTTTTAATAATATTTAATCATAGTGAGATGTGCATTCTGAATCTCACACCATTATTTCCATTAATCTTCCATAGTAGTTAGAAGGGGGAGTATATTTATGCTAGAGTATAAAATAGGGGAATTTACCCTAGTTTCACACCTTAGAGACACAAATTAGAGTTTCTCAACCTTGGCATTACTGACATCTTGGGCTCTATAATTCTTTGTTGTGGGGAGATGCCTAATGCATTGCAGGATGTTTAACAGCATTCCTGGCACTAGATGCACCCCTTTCCCAACTGCGACAATCAAAATGTCTTTAGATATCCTTAAATGTCCATTGGGGACAAAATCAACCTGGTGAAGAACCACTGCTTTAATGGGATAATGCTTGGCTGTACTGTCTTAAGATACAGTGAATACTTGCTCTTCTTGCTTGTGGTTCAATTGTCATAAGTAGAACACAATCTGTAGATACCAACAGGGTCTATTTTTAAATTCTAGAAAATATAAACACACATGTATCCTTTCTCTTTAGAATAATTATCAACATGCTACTTTTGGTATATGTAGAGGATTCTGAATTATTTTTAAAATGTGATATATTTTAAACAAATAATTCTAAAACCTACTTTTATCTACAGAGTCAAAGATTAAATTAAATTATTTTACCTTTAGGGCTGAAATTATAGTTTGCTCAGCTGCTGGTGGGAATGAGCTCTGACTGGAAACCACCTAAAACAAAGTTTTGATCCAGTTATACTTCTGCTTAAACTATTTAGTTTTATAAATACTAATTTTGATCATAACATGATAAAGCTGTTTCCACAGGCCACATATAAAATAGTATCAGTACTTTATTTATTTTAAAAAATTTTATTGATTTTTTTTTTTAGAGAGAAAAAAGGGAGAAAAGAGAGAGAAAAAGAAACATTAATATGAGAGCAGAACATTCACTGGCTGCCTCCTGCATGGCCCCTACTGGGGATCAAGTCCACAACCTGGGGATTTGCCCTGCCTGGGAATCGAACCAGCAACCTTTTGGTGCATGGGACAATGCCCAACAGAGCCATACTGACCAGGACAAAACAGTATAATTACTTACAGTAATGACTGATAAATGTTTGAAAAATGCATTATTAGTATTGCTCTGGATGGGTGGCTCAGTTGGTTGGACTATCCAGTACACCAAAAGGTTGCAGGTTCAATTCCCAGTCAGGGCACATACCTAGGTTGTGGATTCAATGCCCAGTCAGGGTGTGAAGGGAGACAATGGATTGGTGTTTCTCTTTCTCTCTCTCTCTCCCCTCCCCCCACCTTACTGTCTCTCTAAAAATCAATAAAAACATACCCTTGGGTAAGGATGAAAAAAAATGCATTAGTATTTATTAGTTAAAATAGCTATTTGGCTCAGTGGTTGGAGCATCCTGTATAAAGAAAATATATATTTCAAATAACTGAAACTTTAAGAATTCTAAGAGCTAGCTTTCTTATTATTTACTCTACATAGCTTATAATGATAAAGTTTTAACTTGAAAAGGTCAGTCTAAAGCCATATTTATATATTTCTTTAAAAATTCACTTTTCTAGGTTGACTAATTTTCAAAGTCTTTAAAATACAAATGTCAGAGCATTTGAGATCTTGCTTCCTGTCAATGTTGTCAGTTTGATGCAAATAAACTCACAAAAATTTTTAAAAATAAAAATAAAATACAAATGTCAAACACTGCAATTATCAATAAAGACATTTACATCAGGCTAAATAAATAGAACATTTAATTGTTTGTTTCATTTCAATGCTTTAGAGTAATATTAAAGAAAATGGAAAATACATAATTTATTCTTTTTATTTACTTATGTTTATTATTTACTTTTCTGAGATTCACCTGATAATCCTTTAAAATACATTTTGCTTAGTGTGTGAAATATACATTTTTGAAAACCCCTGCTTGATAAAAGGGTTTGTTAAAAAGTTTAGTAAATGCCCTGGCAGGTTTGGCTCAGTGGTTGGAGCATCGGTCCTCAGAATAAAGGGTCATGGGTTCAATTCTCAGTCAAGGGCACAAACCTGGGTTGCAGTTTCAATCCCTGGTCCTGGTCGGGGCCATGTGGGAGGCAACTAATCGATGCGTCTCTTTCACATGGATATTTCTCTCTCTCTCTCTCTCCCTTCTACTGTATCTAAAAAAAAAAAAAATCAATAGAAAATATCCTCTGATGAGGATTAAAAAAAATAGTTTAGTAAGTGAATAATACATAATTATTCTAAAATACAATTGTAATCATATTACAATTTAGATTGTAATATGCTTGTATACAATCTAAAATACAAGCATATTAAAATTCATGTTAGAGGTCAAGTTCTAAAGAACATCACTTAACCTTTAACATCCTTCAGGCTACTAAACATCTATCTCCCTAACTGCCAAATAACTTTTAAGATGATTTATAGAGAGTAAACACAAGTGACTCAAAAGTCAAAGATGGGATGAAAGTGCCTTCTTAGTAGTTATGAATACAGCTCATCTTAGACATACTACATGAAGGCCAACAAGTGAAAGTTCTGTCATTTTAGTAAAATGGCAAAAAGAATATCTATTTTCTACTTGCAAGTAGTCATCAGCAATTTTATCATAAAAACTCACTGCTTTAATACAGCTCCTCCCCACTTTTTGTGAAAAAAAGAAGAAAAAAATAGAACCTTTTTGACATGTTGGAAGGCTTAGAGTCCTTACTCTGTCATTAACTTTGCTATAATTTACTATCATCCACATGATAATCATGTTATGCTTTTTAATAGCCATAAAAAACAGATGATTTATCCTTAAGTCTTTTGTTCAATAAACTTGATTATAACAACCAAACCCGAGAATCTACAGTTCATGTGTTTTCAACTAAATGTATATATAAAAAGCCACACAAATAATAAAGGTCAGGGTCAAAGTCTATGTAAAAAAGAATTCATTCCTCACCTTATTTTGCAAGCATCATGTTTTCATCATATTCTTTAGCAAAAAAAATAATTTGTAAACTGTCTAACTTTGAGGCAAGAAGAAACAAAAATTTAAAATTAAGTCAAAAGAATTAAAAATAAAGATAAAAGTTACCTTTGTTACTGATTGGTGCAACTTAAACAGTGAATTAACTACTGCCACATTTCTTCTCTGCCCTTCAGTAAGAGGCCCAATCACTTGACTTGCATCTCCTTGTGTGGAGAGCTGTAAGAATTCAACACAAAAAGAAATTATCAAAATGACAGCTCATATTTAACTGGGCAGGGGCCAGGTGGGTATTAATGCCCCTCTGACAGAATGTTAACTGGAAATATTCAGGTCAAGCTTTGGACATCAGGCACAGCAGAAACCTCAGAAGAGATAACACCATAGATATGGAGGCAAGCTTGCACAGGAGGAACATCCTACGTCAATACATCGTAGCTGGTGGACTCCCGAGGCAAGTGTGACCCAGAAGTGCAGGATGTGTTGTTATTTTGATACATCAGCACAGTACTCCTGGGGAATACTTTCTGGCAACTGCCAAGGAAGAAAGGAAGGGAGGAAGAAAGAGAAGAAGAAAGGGAAAAAGGAATAAAAATAAACCTATATTCTATGTACATTTGAAAGCCATAATATTCCAATGAAATGAGTGGTGAAAAGAGATATTACTCTTATTTTTTATAGATTAAAGAAAATTTAAAAGGAAGTTGCCTATGACTATACTGTGTATGAAAGATCAACAGACTGGTATTGAAACTTTCTACTCCTGACCTTTAATTTACCTCTAAATGAATGTGTTTTAGGGAACAGGACAAGGAACGCTTTACTGAATTAATCTAAAACTATTTTAGTTCAACTTGAGAAAAAAAATCCACATATAAACCATTCTCATATTGATCAGATTTTAATCCATTCCTCTATAACAATCATTTAAAGGTAAATTAAACCTGATGAGAACAAATAAAATTTGGTGCAAGTAACTGCAGGAATGTGGATGTAAAATCTGATAAATTGGCCTTTTAGGAGAGTTCCTAATAGTGAGTCAAATAAAATGTAAAAGAAAGAAATACTATTTTTTCTTTTAGCTTTCCTTTTATAAAAACACACATATACATTTTCTAAATTAAACTCAATTCCCACAGTATTAATTCTTCCTTGTGGTAGTAAAATACAATGTTAAAAACATTAAAAATTGGGGGAGAGAAGGCAAGATGGCTGAAGCCTAAGGAGGTTCTATCTGCTTGCTTCTAGCATGAGATCGGACTTGAGGCTAAACTGCAGAACATTTGACTTAAAAAACCACCTGAAACTACCTGATTAAAAATATTGGGAGCGGGAGTGTGGACAGGGAAGGGAAAAAAACATGGAGTGGGTGAATGAGCTCATGCAGGGAAGAAAGGTGGGGCAGTGCAGCTCCTGCCCCAGGGAGCGAGGGGGACTCAGCCCCACACCGAGATCACCAAGGAGAGCAACAGAGAAGGGAAGGGGAGCCCACATAGCATTGGACAGTGGCAGAGGTGATCAGCGTACCAGGGGGACTCAGCATGATGCCAGAATCATGCTTGGCTACAACCCCAGCCTGGGAAGCTCACCCTGATGGTGGATGCTGGAAGGGACCACAAAGCAGAACAGTGGACCTGAGGAGGGGTCTGAGGGGATCACACAGCACTGAATCTGAGGAGCTGACTATTCTCTGAAAGGACTTGAATGGGGGCTAGCCAGAGTGCCCTGGGAAAAAGGTGTGTTCCTCCCCACCCACATGAAGAGTAGGTGTGCCTTTCCCCACCCATGGAACAGCTCTGGGCTGGAAATCAGCACCCTAGCCGCTAGGCCTGGTGGCACTGGGTATTCAGTCGTCTGGTCAGGTGGGAGCTTAGGCAGAAGCCCCGCCCTGTGGGAGCCATTTGTGCTGAAAGAGTAAAAAGCCAAGCAGGGCGGGTATTTTTTCTTTCTCCATTTTTCTTTTCTATCTTCCCCTACTTAGGTAGTGACCAGGGGTGCCAACAATACCGGCAGAGGTGAGGCATTGGAAGGAGAGGAAAAGACTGCCTGCCTCTCCTAAAAGCTACAGGCACCACACCCAGTACAAATCTGTTCAAACCATCCTGACACCCCACAGAGCCCAGGGTCTAGGGGAAGGGAAATCAGTCCGGAACAAATATATTCAAGTGGTGAGGCTATTGAAAATAGAGAGCTTCACAGACAAAAAATGACTAAAGGAGTTTACTACCACCAAACCAGAATGGCAAGAAATGCTGAAGGGAGTGTTGTAAGATGAAGAAATAGAGAGAAACACAAACATAAAGAAAAAAAATGGCAACAAATAAGTACCTATCAATAATAATCATAAAAAATAATAATCATAGGTGTAAATGGCTTAAATGCTCCAAAGACATAGGGTAGCTGAATGGATAAGAAAACACGACACATATATATGCTTTCTACAGGAGACCCATCTCAGATCAAAAGACTCATACAAGATAAAAATGAAGAGATGGAAAAAAATTTTTCCATGCAAAAGGAAACAAACAAAAAAGCTGGGGTAACAATATTCATATCTGATAAGATAGTGTTCAAAATGAAGGTCATATTAAGAGGCAAAGAAGATCACTACATAATATTAAATAGATCAATCCAAAAAAAGGATATAAACCTGATAAAAATATAGGAGTACCATGAAACAGCAGGTGACGTGGGCTCTGTGCTATGATGAAGGTGGGGGAAGGCTACTTGAGCAATTCAAGTGGTAGTGGGCAGTGGAATAGGAGGTTATAGCAGGCTCAGGGGTCAGATGATAAATATGTAGCTGTCTATAATGGGAATTTAAAAATGATCAGTTCTAAAACATAAGAAAACAAAAGTTACAAGTTCTAGATGTACAATTAAAAAAACTGATCTCTTCTCTTGAGATTTTCTCAAAACAATTTTGAATACTAAAGAAACAGGAAAGGGAAAGGATTTTTCTTATGTTATCTTATTTCCATTTATTTTATATATTCTGTAGTTAGTGAAGCAATAGGCTCCTTGCTAGGAAAGGGTGGAGATCATTTTATTACTGAAGACTGATTATGTTTTTAAGTTTTAAAGACATAGAAAGGCCCATTACACAACCATTGGGAAGCTATAATAAAACAGACAGATAACAACAAATGTTGGCCAGGATGTGAAGAAACTGGAACACTCATACATTGTTGGTGGGAATGTAAAATGGAGTAACTGCCTTGGAAAAACAGCCTGGCCATTCCTCAAAGATAAACACAGAGTGACATATACTCAGCAATTCGATTCTCAGTTACATACACAAGAAAAATAATGACACGTGTTCACATAAAAATCTGTACACAAATGTTCAGATGCATTACTCATTACATAGTAGTCAAAAATTAAAAACAAAAAATGTCAACCACCCTGGCTGGTATGGCTCAATTGATGTGTCTCTCTCACATCAATGTTTCTCTTTCTCTCTCCCCCCCCCCCACCTCCCACCCTTCCACTCTATCAAAAAAAAAACCTATATATATATATATATATATGTATATGTATATGTATATATGTGTGTGTGTGTGTGTGTACGTACATATATGAAAAAAAGATCCTTGCACCCTGGCTGGTTTGGCTCAGTAATTAGAGCTTCGGCCCATGGACTGAGGGTCGAGCGTTCAATTGCTGGTCTAGGACATATATCTGGGTTGCAGGTTCAATTTCTGGCCCCATAGTGGGTTGTATAAGAGGCAACCAATCGATGTGTCTTTCTCACATCAGTATTTCTCCCTCTCTATCTTTCTCTTTCTCTCTCCCTCCCTCCCTTCCTTGTACTCTAAAAAAAGAAAAAAAAATCCTTGGGTGAGGATTAAATCTTCCACCCCTAAAAAACATGTCAGCCAACTAATGAATAGATAAATAAAATAAGTATATCCATGCAATAGTGCACAACTTAGCAAAACAAAAGGAATGAAGTTCTGATACATGTTACAACATGAATAAATCTTGAAAACATTCTAAATAAAAGAAGCCAGTCACAGAAGGCCACATCTTAAATGATTACATTTACATGAAAATTCAGAATAAGCAAATTCAAAGAGACAAAGACTGGATCAGTGATTGGGGTCAGGGTGAATGTAGGGTAAATGGGGACTGACTGCAGGTAAGTGGGGACTAACTACTAATGGGTAGTAGGAGGTTATTTGTTGTGGTGATAAAATGCTACAAGTCTGATTGTGAATATACTAAAATCACTTGAACTGTACATTTTAAAATATGTTTTATTGATTTGTTTTTGACAGAAACACAGATGTGAGAGAGACACATCAATGGGCTGCCTTCTGCACAACCCCTACTGGGGATCAAGCCCACAACCCCAGCATGTGCCCTGACCAGGAATCAAACCAGGACAGCTCAGTCCATGGGACAACACTCAATCCACTGAGCCACACCAGCCAGGTGAATTGTACATTTTAAGTGGGTGAATTATATTTTAATAAAGCTGTGTTTTAAAAAGTATAGAAAGGCGAATCCCCAGACTTCAAGGTTACTGATGGAAGCCCTGAGAGCCTTGTGAAAACTAAAGTTAAGATAAGATGGTTACAGTAAATAGATCTAAAAGATATATGAAGAAAATATAGGAGCAAAACACTGATAATATAAAAAAACAAAAAATGAATTTTTGCTATGCCAAAAGACAAGAAATAAAATTTCAATATCAAAGTAAAAATATAACAGTAGATGATTGGAAATGTAAGATAATCTGCTGCTTATTATGCTTTTATAGCACAGAATATACTCACTCCAACATTTTAGGTAAGTGGATCATCCTGTGTCCCTCTCCAACACAACCCCATCATAAGATTTTTTTACTGTTGACAGTATTATGTCCTCCATTTTGCCCACCATGCAGCCCCCACCCTACCCCAGGCCTTCACCACATTATTATGTGTATCCATGGGTTATGATCATATGCATACTTCTTTGGTTAATCTCTTCCTGTCACCCCAAACCCTCCCCACCGAGATCTATAAGTCTGTTCCATGTATCCATGCCTCTGGTCCTATTTTGTTCATCAGTTTATTTTGTTTACTAGATTCCACATATACGTGAGAACGTGATATTTATCTTTCCCTGACTGGCTTATTTTGCTTAGAATAATAATGTCCTGGTCCATCCATGCTGTCACTAAAGGTAAGATGTCCTTCATGTTTATACCTGTATAGTGTTCCACTATGTAA